AGCATTGGTGGGCCCCATGGCCTAAATTAAACAGAGTTTGGGAGGGAAAATTTGATTGAGGGTTGTTTAGGGCTTAATTAATTTTTCTTTTGCTTTAATTAGTCTTTCTTGTTAGGGTTTGGGGGTTATCTTGAGATTGAAATCAAATTTGAGATTTAGGGTTTGTTACTTTGGGCTCTAGGCTTGGCTAGAGATTAAAAGAGCGGTTTCTTCCTCTCGAATTGAAGAAATTTGTATCGTTTGTTATTTCCATGCATCTACTAGTGAAATTCTTCATTTTCTATCAGTTTTCTTCATTTTTCCCAAGAAATATGTTGTATCGTTACCATTTCTTTGCTGTAAATAACAGTTTTTACTCAGTGTTTTCACCAATTGTGGTTAGGTTTACTTGCGAACTCAAGTATTTCCCTTAGGGATACTTGCGAACTCAAGTACTTCCTAACGAATGTAGTGAATCAGAGTTTGGATACTTGATGTGTTTTGCTTCTGAAACACTAAGGATGTGGGCCAATTGGTTCGCATGGGCCGAGTATTGGTACAATACCTCGTACCACTCAGCTTCTCAAATGACCTCTTTTAAGGTGCTATATGGAAGAGATCCGCCACACTTAGTGCACTTTGGAAGGGATGGTACACCAGTTTTCTTTATTTCACCTTGAGGACAATGTGAGTCTTTGGGAGGGGGGTAATGTTAGACCTAAACCGGTCCAACCTGGACCAATTCAAGCCTATGCCCGTTGGTCCAAAGAGGTGAGGAGGACAAGAGAGGGGGGCGGCAACATTGGTGGGCCACATGGCCTAAATCAAATAGGATTTTGGGAGGAAAATTTTGAATGAGGGGCTGTTTAGGGATTAATTAATTTTCCTTTTGCTTTAATTAGTCTTTTTTGTTAAGGTTTGGGGGTTATCTTGAGTTTGAAATCAAATTTGAGATCTAGGGTTTGTTCCTTTGGGCTCTAGGCTTGGCTAGAGATTTGGAGAGCTGTTTATTCCTCTCAAAATAAAGGAACTTGTATCGTTTGCTATTTTCCTGCATCTAATAGTGGAATTCTTCATTTCTCTATCAGTTTTCTTTTGTTTTCCCAAGAAATCTGCTGCACCGTTGCTGTTTTTCTGCTGTAAATAGCAGTTTTTACTCACTGTTTTCACCAATTGTGGTTAGGTTTGCTTGCAAACTCAAGTATTTCCCTTAGGGATACTTGCGTACTCAAGTACTTCTTATCACAACCCCACTATCTTCTTCTACTGTACCACCTTCTCAATGAGCTTTTTGAAGTTTCCCCCATGTCTCCCTTCTACAGTCTTTGAGGTCTCCCTAAAAATATCCGGTGTCGGCTCCTTGGATGTCAAAAAGGTGGTGGTCATTATGTACAAACCTCCTGAACTATTGTCTCTGACCCATCTCCAGGTGTTTATGATCCTCCAATAATTGGGCTAGTTTCACAGCCTCTCTTAAATCATGAGGCCTCATCACTCTAACTATCGTCCAAATCTCTGATTTGACCCCTTTCATAAAGTTTCCCTCAAGTATAGTCTCCAACAGTTGGTCCATTCAGTTAGCAAGGTACTCAAACCTCTTACGATACTCTACCATTGTCTTCTTTTGCGTTCGAGCGAAAAATTGCTCATAGAAGTTCTCTCCCCTGCTAGTTCGAAAATGCTCCAACATGCTGTCCTTAAACTCCCTCAAACTTCGTACGGGCTATCTTATCACTCCACTTGTACCATGCCAATGCTTTTCCTTCTAAGCACAGGGTGACTGCCGTCAGTCTCTCCTCCTCATTAACCCATATCGCAAAGTACCTTTCCACCCATGTGCATCATCTCCCTAAAAAACAAGCATTTTCAGCTTCCTTACCCTCGGATCTCCTCCGTTCCTCCTGTTTCCTCCATAACCTCCCATTCCCCAAGTGGGTGTTCCCGCCAAGTGGCTTGATTATCCCTTCTACCTTCGTACCCAAAATGTTCATCAAAATCCCCCATTCTCATTTCAAATTCAGCACTCCTCTGGTCATAGTTCACCATTCTTCTTTCGAAATTAGTACCCTTTCGTTCATACCCAATCCCGTCATGTCTCTCCCCATGCCTTCTACCTATCTCCTCCCTAGGAATGGGTTCTAGAGGTCTTCTCTCTTCTCCCTCCAAGATCACCTCTTGTTCTTCCCCTCTCCTTGTCGGAATAAGGTTTTCCCCACTCCCTTGGCTACTGGCGGCTTCCCTCTCCTTCGACGACATTGTTTTGGTTTGGCTCTTGAGCAACTTCATCATTTACTCCATGATGGCAAATTTCCCATCATTCTTCCCGTGGATGACTGAAATTTGAGTTTGGAAATCTAAAATTTCAAATTGCAATTGTCCAAGCTCCCTTTCCAGCACTTCTACATTTTTTCCCGCCATATGTACCCGGATCTAGGTTCCAAACAGTAAAAGCAGCAAAAAAAAAAAACAAATCCGATATTCAAAAAGAAAAAATGCGCAAGATGGAGGGAAAAAACGTAGCAAAATCAGTGAGGAAGACTTATATTTCAGCCCAGGCTCTGCTCTGATACCAATTTGATAGAAAATTTATGCTGAAATTGCCCAAATCCTTGGCTGAAATTCAATTTCAGCAAAATAAAAAAACAAACACAAGAAAACAAACGAAAGGAAGAAACAACAAATCTGATCTTCAAAATGCAAAAAATTGCAAGACGGAAGGAAAAAACGAAGCAGAAATCAGCGATGACGACTTATATTTCATCCAGGAACTGCTCTGATTCCAATTTGATAAGAAATAGATGCAGAAATTGCCCAAACCCTCGACTGAAATTCAATTTCAGAAAAACAAGAAAACAAACACAAGGAAACTTGGGAAAAAAAAACACAATAGCACTTTTTATTGAAATATTTATGAAGGAAATAGCAAGATACAATTGGATCTTCAATTGGAAAGGAAGATCTCGCTCTACCAAATCCTTAGCCTCCGGCTAGAGCCCTCTCAACCTAAAATATTCTAAATTCAGCCAAAACAAAGCATAAAACCCAACCCTAGGGTAAACAAGTCTAGGAGGGACCAGCCCATCTTCAACCAGTTCAGGATGGACCGGTCCATCAGATGCCATTAGGGCAATTTTAAAATTTCACATTTTAGGCTTCCTTTGGGCACATGTATTGCACTTTCCTACATGCATATTTCATGCAAATCATCTTGTCTAGGTTTGGTTTTTTGAAAAGAAAAGCAACTAAATTGCTTTCCCAAACAAAGCTTTTAGCAGGGATAGCTTTTCAGTCTTCTTAAATAAGTTTTTTATTAAGTGCTAAATTTCTTTGTTCACAAGTTTTGAATGGCAATATTGTTTTAAGCCATCTTTCATATTTGGTTTTTGAAGTGTTTTTCTATAGCCTTTTGCTCTTGTTCCATCGAGCAAAATTCTTGAACTTGAAGGCACTTTCTAGCCTTTGATCCTTGTTGATGCATGCCATTCTATTGCAGTTACTATTTTCATTATTTTTATTATCATTATTTTGAATCAAAATTTTTTAAATTTGATGGATGCATTGTTTGATGGAGAATTGCATTTAACACAACAGTAGTGATTACCTGTAGTGTCTGGGCTCTCTGGAAGTAAAGAGGAAGCACAAAATCAGGTCTTGATTGGAATGGGCTTACTTGCTGGTTCAACCGTTTTTCTGTTGACATTGCTATGGGGTTCTTGTGTAGTTGTTGGTAAATGTGATCTTTCAGACAACTCAATTTCAATAGATACAAAGGATACTCGAGGGTTCAGTCTATTTGGTAAGTTACTTAACAGTAGTTTTCATAGAGTTGTGCTATTTTCTTCAATTTGTTGAAGATTACATTGCTTCTTGGAATTGCTGTGTTTATTTGTGAACCCTTCTAATTTATATTTGTATGACTATTTCGAATTTGTCAGTCATTTTGTTCCATTATGTATTAGATGTAAAATACCTGCAAAATTGAAGAAGATGAAGATAAAATATGGCTATCGAAGAAGTCCACTCCTCTATATCTGGTGGAGAATTTCTGGCGTTCGTTTTTTTACGTTAAAACCAATGGGTGAAGTGATGATGTAGACTTCAGACTAAAAAGAAATCTTTTCTCCATTCCATTATTGACCCTTAGTATCCCCGCCTTAAATTCATTATCCGGCTGGATGAATTTGGGAACCCCAATATTTGAGAATTAGCATTGAATTTGTAGAAAATAGGGGCCAATGGGGATGAAAGTTTGATTATTTTATTATTTTATTCACCCGTTTAGTATTCTCTATCATGAACTAATGTGGATACTGTAGATTAGATGGCCTTCAACACCTTTGCCTTTCCGCAGTTTATTCTAATGCGCCTTCAATCATTTAATATTGGCACTAAGTGAAACTGACGCCTCGTAGGCTGAGCGCTTAGTCACTCATTTGCATGCCACAATAAAATTGCTCAGAATGATCATTCAGAGTTGGCTTTCTATTAAAGGTAGCATGTCCATTTTCTATGACTAGTTTGTTCGTTGTCAAGCATTGCTTTGTTGGATTGTAATCAATCTCATGAGGTAAATGATAAATTCTTTGCTTATCTGATTGTAAATATTAAGACCAGTAGAGATAATGCTTCAACATATTTTACACGATTCTAATGTTTTTTTTTTCTTTTATTTATAAGGAAAGACATCCTACTATGAAGAACCAATCTCTAATAAACCACTGCAATGAGGGAATAATTAATTGTGTTTGTATATGCAAAATAAGTCTAAACTCGTACTTACTGAAATTATTGCTAGGAATACATTTGAAAATAATTGCTGAATAACAAGTTCCTTTTGGGCTCAGTAAGAAACTAGGCTCCTCCATTTTGGAGTATCCGCATATTGATCTATATTATTTGCACTTCTTCACAAACAGCCTTTTTATTTATAACTTTTATAAAAAATTTTGTTAAATGAACTAGGATAATACCATTGGATGTTCACTTGTAAAATGTTTGGAAAAAGTTTCCCAGCGCATGCAGTTCCATACTTGTCAACTATCACAAAGGGATTGTGCAAAACTACAAGGCATCCCCTCAATGAACATGAATCCACAATGAGATTTGTTGATGTGGTTTTCTTAATCTTTTTGGTGATAGAAAGGTGAGACCTGATTACTTGGTTTAGAAAAACAAGTCAAAATAAATTTCATCCTTTGGTGTAATTGGATTAAGAGTTGCAATTTAAATATTGAGGGAATTAGTTAGAAGTTGTAAGAAAAATACTAGAAATTAGTTGATGTTTGGTCAAAATTTTGGATCCTATTTGCAGTTCAGGTAACAAGTAAAAGAATATTTTGTAATTATTAATCAAACTAAATGGGCAGCAAGGCTTAGTTGAGTCGGAAATATTGTCATCTTAAAATATTTGAACCTGATCAAGATAGACATCATCAATTTGGTGAAGCTAAATGTATCTGATTTGCCGAAGTTATTTGAAGTTCAAAATTTTTAATCTGAACTAGACTCTTTTTCCTATTCTAGAATGTTTGAATTTGAAGTTCAAAAAATTATTTTCATTTTTTCCTTAAATATTATCATAAGTTAAAAATTAGGTAGGTCTCATGTTATCAAAATCAAAATAACTCGTATAAACTGATGTGCTGAACAAGGAGAGTCTGATGACAAACCCTTTATCTGTTGTCCTTTCTTACGCCTAGAATATTTAGCAGACCTGAAGACATTGATAATTATTTACAAAAAGTTTTTGAGATTTTATGTATTTGGTACCTCTTGTTTATTTCAGTCAGGCAAGGCTACCCCTGGTTGTGTACGATATGGTCTGATTTCTTGCAGATAACTTTGTAATTTAAATGCATTTTAAAATAGTCTTGCTTAGAGGTTGTATGCCTTATTTTTTTACCCTTTTTTCTTACGCATGCACAACTAAGCTTATCAATGTTATTTTTTCTCCTAGATTTATGCTTTGATTTAATCTATCTTTAAGGAATGTTGATGATTGCCGAGCGATTTACACTATCATGATTTGTTGGATTGCTTGTTTTATCTCAACTAAGTGATGAATGATTTTCCTGGTTTCTTAGGGTCCGGTGTTTCGACTGATTTGCAAACTAGCTATGCTGCAAGGATAATGACCGTCTCCCTTCTTCCATTTGTCATTGTACAGCTGCCAAAAATCTTCAAGTTTCCTTCAGGGCAACGTCTTACTATCTTGATTACCATTATTATTTCAGTTGGACTAGTCCTTTCTTATTGCATATATCAGGTACTTCATCTATGACAGTATTTTGTCATTATGATTATTCTGCGCTGGCCTTCAATCCCTCTTCTTCAAACTTCAACATTGTGATACTTCTTGGATGTTCCCAATGTCCCATAGCAGATTGTTTTGTTTCTGTAGAGTAATATTTAAATGCCCACTGCTCCTGATTTTTCATGTGGTTGGACATGGTTAATCCTTGCTGTGCCATTAAATCTAGAAGCATTATTGTTGCTGTGCCCACGAATTTTTTTTAGGAAATATTGATGCTCAAGCATTTTATATCACAATATCAAAAACATCATTTTATGTTACCTCTTCTTTTAGTCTACAACGAAATTTGAACACTTTCTGAACACCATTATATTATTTTATTGCATACTTTGTTTCTTAAGAAAACCTTGGAAACGTTTAAGACACCCTTATGGCACATTTTAGAAGCTAAGAAGATATTTTCCGTATTACTTCAACCATATTTGGTCATTTATTTGGCCTGTTTTCTACTTCCCTTTAACTCAATACAAATCTCTGTATTTGATAATATCGCAAATTATGATGGTGTAAAATTCATGTTGCTGTAAAATTTTAGGTTTCGTTTTCCTATTTGGATTCTGTATTTATAAAAAAATAAAATCCCATTTCTGGTTCCTTCACGCTCTCTAGAAACATAAATTGGCCTTCCTGCTGATGAATAAGTAGTGTGCACTCGGTCGGTGGCCAACTGAGATAGCTATGGTTTATAACTTTAAACCCTTGATCTCTGAGTTATTTTCCTTATTTTTTTTTAAATCCAAGAGACTTCACCCTAATATTATAAACTTAATTTAATGACATGAATGCGAGTTTGAACAGTATAATAGCTTCATGCTTGTCTTTTATAAAGAGAAGATTAAGATTGATGTGGTTTTATTTGTGCTTGTGATGCAACAGATCTTTCAGCCATGGATTCAAAGACGACGACTAGCATATGCAAAGCACAAACATGTTATATCAGGAATACTTAGACATGCTCAAATGCAAGCACTAGGGCGGCTTGTAACAAGTGATGGAGAGCCTAATAAGCCAGTCATTGAAAAGTTAGTATTGTTGCGTACTTTATTAGTCTTAAAAGTCTTGCTTCTCTGACCCGTGGGTTTGGGTTTAACCCCCATGTTTCCTGTGTTCTTTCAACGTTGTACATAAAATCTTGATCTACAAGACTGCATTTGATCTAGTAGCAGTGATGTTTGAGCAAGTTTTTCCATAAACCCTTTGATAGACTGAAGGTTGCTATGGGTTAAACCCCAATAGCTATGAGGAGCATTGCTTTTCTTACTTGTCATAAACAGTAAATCATTTTCATCTGTTTTCATTCTTTTTTAAGATGAATTGCTATAATTTTAACTCTATTCTGTTCAGATTGTTTTACAAAATTGATTTGGATGAGGATCGAGTTGTCTCGCATTCTGAATTAAGAGCATTTATCATAGGAATCCAGTTTGAGAACATAGACTTAAACGAGGATGATGCCGTGGATAGAGTAATGGCTGAATTTGACACCTCTGGAAATGCTAGAATTGAAAAAGATGAATTTATTCTCGGGATTTCCAATTGGATCAAAGAGGCCAAACGTACTGTTGAGAATTCTGGTTCTTACTCCAAAAAATTTGTGCATGACTTTCATATGGTGAGTCCATTGCTGATGTGATACTTCAAACTAAATTTTTATGTGTAACTTCTACTCCAAAAATGTGCAGAAAACAAAAGAGCAACACGACTTGCTAATTGACAATAGTGACGAGGGTGTAGAGGAAATTGAAAACCCAACCATGGTTTATGTCAAAGCCATCTTACTGTTGTTGTTGGGGACTATAATTGCAGCTACATTTGCTGACCCTCTTGTTGATGCTGTAGACAACTTTTCACTTGCTACAAATATACCCTCCTTCTTCATATCCTTCATTGCCATGCCTCTGGCAACCAACTCCAGTGAGGCTGTCTCAGCAATTATTTTTGCCGCTCGAAAGAAGAAGAGGACTTCTTCACTGACATTCTCCGAGGTATGTTCTTGAGGTTCATAGCGATTGATTTTTAAATCCAAAGCCGTTATATTTCTTTTTTGGTATTATGTGCAGAAGTGTTTGTCAGTTTATTTTGGAAGCTTTCTGTTTAATATTAGCCTTCTGACTGACATTTTTTTTTTCTTAAATCTTAGGGTAACCTGTATAGGATGAATATATTGCCAAACTTTAGTACTAGAGTTATGTGGGAAGCATCCTTGGTGTAATACATACTGATATTGTGATTATTAGTAGATTCGGGGAAGAAATCAAATATTTTAGAAGGAACAATTATTGCCATCATGATTTTTTTTCTTAATACAGGGAGTCTCTACAAATTCTTCTCAAATGTAGATTATTTCATTTTGTAATAAATTTGTTGCCAAAATCTTACGACTAGACTAAAAAGATATACATACTAGGCAGAAAGAGAGAGAATCTGGATAGGGAAGTTCTAGGATTTCATCAAATTATGGAAAGTACAAGACTAGAGTATAAATTACTTTTTTGTTCTAATCCTTCCCTATACCTCCTATTTATAGGTTCATACTAGGGTTTGATGCTACAAAAAAGCTACATTAAAGCTATGCAAAATTTTAAAAAAATTATGAAGGCTTAATAATTGCTTGTGTGAAAATACACAAAGCGTTTAGCCAAAATAGAAAAAAAAAATACATGATGATTATTGGGTAAGTCATCATTAGGTAAAATCGCCAGTCAACTTTGTTGAATGTTGGAGGGTAGCTTTTGGTCATGTTGACAAGTAAGTACTTTTGAGACGGAGCAAGTTCTCAAGGCTCTTAGCGAGTTTAATTTCTCCAATGAATATATTAAAATTTTGGTGAATTCAACATAGCTTTGACAAACTCAGGCTAGTTTTGGCAAGTTAACAGTGATCCTGACGAGTTCATGGTGAAATTGGAGAGTTTCTTATTTTCACTCTTCTTTTTCCAATTGGGTTACTTTGAACTTCAAACTTGACCGATTTGAACTTGGTCTATGGAATATTTGAGCATGCAAAACTTAAGTTTAAATTTTCATTAATTTATTTTTTAAATAGCTCAAACTTAATCGTGGGATAAAGAGTGGATGTTGTTGTTGTATTTTTTAAATAGTTCAAACTTAATAGTGATCTTGACCATATCTTTTTGTTTTAATCATGGATGTTCTCACTAGACATTTGCAAGAGGTTGTATCCTGGTGTATGCTTTTGCTGATGATATTCTTCTTGCTGATAAGAGTAGAGAGGGAGTTGAAGGTAAACTTGAATTATGGAGGTCAATTTTATAGTTTAAAGGTTTTCGTTTGAGTAGATCTAAAACAGAATATATGGAGTGTAATTTTAATAGTAATAGATCTAGTGGTAGGGGGGGGGGGGTATTGTGACTTTGGACGATCAAGTGATTAATAAGAGTACACATTTTAGATATCTTGGGTCTATTGTTCAAATTGATTGTGAAATAGATGGGGATATTATTAATAGAATTCAAGTTGGATGGCTGAGGTGGAGGAATGCATCGGGCTTGTTGTGTGATAGAAAAATCCCCCTCAAATTTCTATAAGATGGTGGTGAGACCTGCAATGCTTTATAGTGCAGAATGTTGGCCTTTATTAGAGAAGCATAATATTAAGTTAAGTATTGCAGATATGAGGATATACATAAAAAGGTTAGATTAGCTCCAGTGGAAGATAAGGTTAGAGAGAGTCGCCTTAGATGGTTTGGTCACATAAAACTACGGCTTTCCGATGATCCGATTAGGATAGTAGATGTATTTGATTTGACTTATGTTAATATTAGCTTATGTTAAGAAAGGTAGAGGTAGACCTAAAAAAATTTGGTTTGAAATATTTGAAATGACATTTCTTTATTAAATTTAAATGAGAATTTGACTCTTAACTAAACACAATGGAAAAAAAAAAGATTCATGTAGCCGACCCCACATAGTGGGATAAATGCTTTATGCTGTTGTTGTAATTTTGAAATAGCTCAAAGCCTAAATTCAACCCTAATTTATATTTGAAGGTGCTCATTAAAGTACTATATATAGAAAGCTAGAAGATGTGCTTATGGGCTTGTGAAAGTATTGTTGATGGTGTAAGCACAAACAAATTACTCCGAAATTGGCTTTCACATTTGAAGTTTTGGTTAAATGCTTTTTAATTAAAACTGAGAAATTTTGGCTAGAGACTTTTGAATTAAAAATTGATTTTTAAGTTTAACGATGTAATAGATGAAAAGTAGAATAAGAGATAGTTGTTTAGGGAGAGAATTTCTTAGAAGGGGTCTTAACTTCAATTATGGTAGAAGTCTCCTGAAAGGTACAAAAATTTGACTTCATCCATTGCAAGAAGAAGTAGCATATTTTAAGAGATTGTTAAGCCTTGAAAAGTAAGAATTATATACAGATGACAACTATAAGAAGTATAAGTCAGTAGATGCTATTATAATTACACATTGATCAGGTGTTGCTTTGAACAATGCTCTCTTCTAGTGTTAGTGATGAATATAGACTTATGCTTAGTTTGAGACAGCTTTCTTTCTACTTCTTAAAGCAATTTTTTAATAAAAAATTAAGAACTTTATACTATAAAGTTCTTTTAAGAAGCAGAAAGAAAGCCATATGCTTAGTTTGGGACTGTTTTTTTTCTGCTTCTTAAAGTAATTTTTTTGTACAAAAATTAAAAATTTTGTGCTGAAAAATTACTTTAAGAAACAGTAAAAAAGCCTTAATAATGCATCAATGCTTTCGATGAAAAATCTCCTCATTCTCCATCACTTTGTGAACATTGCAGGTATATGGTGGGGTGACCATGAACAACACGCTTTGCCTGGCGGTGTTCTTGGCCCTTGTTTATCTGAGGCAATTGCAATGGGACTTCTCTGCTGAAGTCCTCGTCATCTTTCTAGTCTGCCTTCTGATGGGCCTATTCACCTGCTTCCGAACCACATTTCCACTCTGGACTTGTTTAGTGGCCTACCTGCTCTACCCGCTTTCACTTATTCTGGTATATATTCTTGATTTTAAGTTTGGATGGTCATAGCTTCGCTGTTTTTGCTTCTGCTGCTGATGCGTTTGAATAATTCCTTCCCTGTAAGTTGATTGTCTATCAATATTTTGAGCGGATGTGTTGTTGAATACTGAATTCTGAAATGAGATACCCACTTTGGTTACCTATATTTATATCTGTTATGGCCATTGTTTCTGTTTATTGCGACACTTCAAGATCTCAGATTTTTGACTGATAAACTATATAGCCTGCATAACTTTGCTATGTTTACAGTTGTTTTAACCCATGAAGTGAAAGTGCGCCAAGGTAGAGGTGTAAACGAGTCAAGTCGAGTCGAGTCAAGTTTCTCTAATTGAGTTAAGCTAGTTTAGTTCTTATTGAGCTTTAGCCTTATGAATCGAGCTAGACTGAGCTAGAGCTCAAGCTCGTTTAATATATACGAGCTCGAGTATAGGCTTGAGCTTAAAACTTATGACTCGATAAGTTCAACTTATGAGCTCGCAAGCTGGCTAGTTAGTCAGCTCGACTCGCTTACACCCCTGCAGCAATACATGCTTATCGACTGCACAAATCTTCCATGCATTGTAATAAGAAAGACTTCTTTTGGAATAGTTGTGTGGCCATACTTTTGTTTTCAATGAATTATAAAGGAATAATATTAGGATATTTTTATATAAATTATATGATTAAATTAACTATGAATTTTTTTTCAAGTTAGTGTTGTAAATGACTTTGCTTTAAGATTCATGTTGAGTAGATTAGTACTGTTATTTAAATATTTAAAAATAAATTTATATTCAGTTAAATATTTTATTAAAAAATTCAGAAAGATAGAAATACTTTAAAATATGTATCATTAAATAGTAGTATAAAACTAGCTGCTATAAATTGGATAGCCTTGGATAAGGCACAAGGAGGATGACGAAGAGCTGTTACAGCAGGCCGGAACTGACACCCATTATGGGTATTATTGCGCCACTTGCTGCCTGCTTTCTCCTTGTCGTTTGCCACTGCGGTGGAATTGGTTGTTATTATCTGCTATTTACTATTTAGTTTTTTTTTTAATTTTTTTTAGGCATCGTGACTTTTTTTAATAACTTTTTATTTTTGTTATTATTAATATTATGTCAGTGCAATGGAAATATGATTAGATAAATCATAGGTTTTTTATTTTAATAATTTTTTACTTATATATTTTTATGGGTTTTAAAATTTGGAGTTCCTTATTTTGTTTAGATTTGATGCAATTGAATTTTTATTTAAAATTATTAAATTAATTATAATTGCTCATTAATTTTACATGAATCAAATTTTTTGTTGATTTCTTCATATTTATTTGTCTAGTATTTATTCTTTGAATATAAAGAAAGCAAATTGTTAAATTATTTAATGATTTATTATTTAAAAATCTTACTTTAATTTATTTGTCTTGCATATATGACATCATTTTAATTATATTAGAAAATCCCAAACTAAATCACCATGGTTATGTTATATGTTAACTTAATAAAGAATATTAATTGTGTTAATTAAAATTTAGTAAATGAAGCAATTTAGACTAAAGATTAAGCTATGATTTAAGATGAATAAACATTTCTCCCTCCACACCTTTTTCTCATAGACATTTAAGTGGTTGAAATGCTTAAAAGTGTGTTTGGTTTAGGCTTCTTTTGGGATAATTTTATTATTGTTATCTAAAGTAGTTTTCTAGTACAAAGATTTCTTGAAAAATGTGAAAAAGCAATGACCGAAAACTATCACAAACAAAGCCTTAGGATGATTTTCTTCCTGCTTCTTAAAGCGACGTTCTAGTATTAAATTTAAATTTTTTGTACTAAAAACTTTCTTTAAGAGCAGTAAGAAAGTTGTCCCAAACAAAACCTTAATCCCTTCATTCTTTATAATTAATAAAAGTTTTGAGTCAATGGAAGAGGACCGAACACAATACCTTCCTCTTGGATAGAATGGAAGACATACGTAAAAGAGAGTTGCCTTGAAGAGAGGAGGATAAACCTAAAATAAGGGCAAGTATTCTGACATATAATTAGGCATATAAGTTGAATTAGGTTGGCTTGATCGGCACGTAAAATATCAAATTGAGTTGAAACTAAGCTCAAGTTCAATTTGAGCCTAATTTTTAGGCTCAAAATCAAAAGAAGTAGAGCTTAATGAAGCATGGTCCATCTTCTATGGCTTTAAGAATCACAACATAAGTAATATTTATGTATGATTTATCAATCATTTGCAAGAAAGCATCACATCTTTGAAGTTTCATCCTAACTTGACAACCCACCAATTAACCCTAAAACTCAGTTCATTTCTTTAAGCGACAAAGACCCCGTCGCATTGTACAACCCATTTATCGCCTACAATCGTAACAACCAACAAGTGATTTGTTGGTTTGCTTGATATGTTTCATCCCAACCTTAATAACTATATCATAACTTGTACATACACCCGTAACGATACAACCTATATTATACAATATATTGTTTGTCTTGGCCTAACTCAATATTATATCAAAATCTAAACATCACAAATTTACCCTTCTTAATATATATAACATTCTAGGTGGTCGGTCATCTCAGGAATGCTCCATCAAGAGCATGCTCAATGGAGTTCCAAATCAAATTCCATTCATGCCAAAAAGATTTCTTGTATATTAGATCAAATCCTTCCTCTCTTTTTGGGGAAATTGTTGGGTTCGGACACCAGACAACGTCTGGAGCCCAATGAAAATGCGCCACATCACCCCCTACTCGGTACTGTGAAGTATCGAGCAATTCTGAACTCGGTACTGCTCAGTACCGAGCTCAGTATTGCTCGGTACTAATACTGAACTCGGTACTGCTCAGTACCGAACGTAAGCTGTGTCCGATCGAACGTAAGCTGTGTCCGATGTCCGAACTCAATAATCTCTCCTTTGATATGAAATTTGGTTCATGAATATCCCTATTTTCTTCTATATGCGTGAAAGCCTAAAAAGTTTATAAGAAACTACTTCTTATACCGACTTAAGATGTTGGTCCTCTTCTCTGATCACCTCCAAAGTTTGTTGATGCCATTTTACTCAAACGTACATTACTCTCCAAACAAATCAGCTTTTGCATCTCTTAGGTTTTGTTTGAGACGGTTTTCTTAAAGTATTTTTTTTAGTGAAAAAGGTTTTAAAATTTTGTATTAAAAAGCTGCTTTAGAAAGAGGTAAGAAAGGAGTTACAAACAAAACTTTGGGGTAGCTTTCTTACTATTTAGTTTCTATTTTTTTTTTTCAAAAAATTTTAGTACTAGGAAGCTACTTTCTATAATAATTAAGGCTTAGTTTGAGAAGTCTTTCTTACTGCTTAATAAAGCAGTTTTTTAGTACTAAAATTTTAATTTTTGTGCTAACAAATTGCTTTAAGAAGCATTAAGAAAGTTGTCTCAAACGAAACCTAAGTTATTTTCTCTATAACAGCTTTATAAAGCAGTAAAAAAATTGTTTGGGATAGCTTTCTAAAATGACTTTATTATACCAAAATTTCTAATTCAAAAAATTTTTGTGCTAGAAAGTTGTTTTAGAAAGCAACAAAAAAGCTATCCCAAACGAAGTCTTAAGCGTGGTTCGGGGCAGCTTTCTTACTGCTCATTAAAGTAGCTTTTTTTTATACAAAAATTAAAACTTTATACTAGAAAGCTACTTTAAGTAGTAAAGAAGGCTTGGTTTGGGAAATCTTTCTTACTGCTTCTTAAATTAGTTTTTTAGAATAAAAATTTTAATTTTTATACTAAAAAATCACTTAAAAAAATAATAAAAAAGCTATCCCAAACCAAGGCTTAGTCCCTTTTCTTTATCTTTTGACTTCCACAGACCGCAAGCATCTCGGGGCATTATGAGTTGCTCCAGGCTTGTTTCCATTAGTTTAATTCTGTTGGCATTATTAGTGTGAAAGAACAAAACTGCTATTTCGATTGGTGAGAGCATATAGCTTTATTTTTAGTTGTCGTGGTTATAATTGTACAAAACTATATGGATTTCAATGAAAAAGAAAGAAGAAAACAGGAGAAACAACATCATTCATGACTTTGGAATGCTAATATAAAAAATGCTTAGATAGAGTGGAAAATTATTATGTCCGATGTCCGGATTCGTTAGGACACCAATTCAGACGCGTCACGTCACTAAAATACACAGGGATCCAGTGTATTCAGGTGACATGGCGCGTCTGGATTGGGTGTCCGAATGTCCGGTGACCGGATGTAATAATTCGCCAAGATAGAGGGGTGGATCCAGCTTCTTTTTCAGTGCGGATAAATTTTTTTTTTTTTTTTTTTTTTGTGGGGAATGGACAAAGAAGCTCAAAATTGATAAAATTATGACAAAAAAGATTTTTGAGAGGAGGGAATACCTAAAATATTCCCTCTAAATATTTAATATATTTTTCCGAGTACATGGGGATCCGCTCATGCATAGATAGTTCAAATAAATATGAACTGATAAAACTGATTTGAAACTTGAGCTCAATTCAATGTATTGTGCTATCCCCTTATCTACTACAAGAATAATAGACTATAAGCAAATCATCAATCTCTATAATCTTCTTGATCATAATTATTACTCATATTTGTTAATTAATGTATGACCCATACCATGTTATGTGATTTTATCATTCTTAATGTAATTCATTATAAGATCACATATTTCAAGAAATGATAAATCATAGCCACATTTAATTATGGAGTTCTCATTAAAACTTTGTTCATTATAGCAAAAGATATCTCACATATTTCGGCTTCTTTTTGAACGACTTTTTTGGTGCTTTTTAAAAGCAGCTTATTAAAAATTGTTTTAAAAAGTAATAAAAAAGCTATCCCAAAAAAAGTCTTAGTCTAATCCTTCACCCCAAAAAAAATCTAATGACAGTAATATTTCCTCTTTCAATATAAAATTTGATTCATTTGTATCCCTCTTTTCTCTTAAAAATAGGCCATCTTATAAGTCTTCCATAAGGGAAAATTATTACGTCCGGCGTCTTCGGACGAATCCGGACGCGCCACGTCAACTAGACCCCGGTGCATCCTGGTGGGTCCAAGTGACGTGACGCGTCCAAATTCGCCTCCAAACAATTCAGACGCCGGACGTAATAATTTGCCTTCCACATGTCACTTTTGTTCCTGTGTGAATCATGGCAATCAATGCCCACTTTAGCTCATTCTTTTCAAATTTAGGATGTGACAATTTGTACCCTTATGCTTAACCTTTCACAATTGTAAGGGACTACTCATCAATCATCATATTTTTTTAGAGTATTAGTTTTATATCGTACTTTTTTTAAGGATCTTATAAATTTTTATTGTAAATTTTTTTTTTCTTATATTATTATAAGTAATATTTAAAAAATTAAAGCTAACGAGTTGGTTCAACCACGAACAAATCAGATTACCAGTCTGATCAATTATAGAAACTAATTTTGCATTGGACTAATCAAAATTGGATTGAACTATCGGTTCGACTGGACAACCATAGAATTTGTTTAGACTTCAAATGAAAAGAATCATTTATCTATTAACAAAGATTAACATAATAATAATAATAATTTTTATTAAGAAAAAAACACTAAAACAACAAACATACAATGGAGAGGCATTCTTCATATCCTTTATATAATTTAATATCATATACTCTAATTTTAATTTTCATATGAACAATCCCTTAGAAAGCTGTTTTAAGAAGTAGTAAGGAAGTCATCTCAAACGAAGTCTTAAACGAACAAAGTCTTAGACTTCGTTTGGGAAGTCTGTCTTACTGCTTTTTAAAGTAGTTTTTTAAAATAAAATTTTTTATTTTTTATAATAAAAAGTCACTAAAAAATAGTAAAAAAGTCATCCCAAGCCTAACCAAGCCTTAGGCTTCGTTTGGGACAGCTTTCTTATTGCTTCTTAAAGCAGCTTCCTAATATAAATATTTTAATTCTTGTACTAAAAAGTTGCTTTAGGAAGAAGGAAGAAAGCCGTCCCAAAAACTAAATCTTAGTCCCTTTTCTTTATCTTTTGACTTTTATAGACCGCAAGCATCTCGTGGCATTATTGCTTCATAGAGTTGCTCCAGGCTTGTTTCCATTAGTTTAATTATGTTGGCATTATTAGTGTGAAAGAACAAAACTGCTATTTCGATTGGTGAGATCATGAGAACTTATTGCTTCATTTTTAGTTGTCGTGGTCATAATTGTACAAAACTATATGAATTTCAATGAAAAAGAAAGAAGAATATTATGCTATCCCCTTATCTACTACAAGAATAATAGATGATAAGCAAATCATCGATCTCTATAATCTTCTTGATCATAATTATTGCTCATATTGTTTAATTACTCCCAAAAAAAATATTTGTTAATTAATGTATATATGACCCATACCATATTATGTGATTTTATCATTCTTAATGAGGCCATTGGCCAGGTACCGAGTTCGAATCCCCTCGGCGCTTCGTGCAAGCCTTAAATGTTGGCCCGTGTAAATTGGTGTGGGTTGCATGCTAGGTCGACCGGATTATCCCCTAACCGGGATGATCTGTTTTTAATCATTCTTAATGTAATTTATTATAAGATCACATATTTCAAGAAATGATAAATCATAGCCACATTTAATTGTGGATTTCTCATTAAACCTCTGTTCATTATAGCAAAAGATATCTCACATATTTAGGCTTTGTTTTGGACGGCTTCCTTAATGCTTTTTGAAAGCAGCTTACTAAAAAATAGCTTTAAGAAGTAATAAGAAAGCTGTCCCAAAAAAAAGTCTTAGTCTAACCCTTCACCTACATAGACCGTAATATTTCCTCTTTCAATATAAAATTTGATTCATTTGTATCCCTCTTTTCTCTTAAAGCTTATAACTCTTCCACATGAGAAAATTATTACGTTCGGCGTCCGGAGGCGAATTCGGACGTGCCACGTCACCTGGACCCCGGTGCATCTTGATGGGTCCGGGTGATGTGACGCGTCCAAATTCACCTCTGAATGATTCGGACGCCAGATGTACTAATTTTCCTTTCACATATCACTTTTGTTCCGGTGTGAATCATGGCAATCAATGCCCACTTTAGCTTATTCTTTTCAAATTTAGGATGTGACCATTTGTTCCCTTATGCTTAACCTTTCACAATTGTAAGGGACTACTCATCATTTTTTTTTAGAGTATTAGTTTTATATCGTATTTCTTTTAAGGTTCACATCAAGTCATCAACCTTTATTGTGAAAAAAAAAAAGAATCAAATTATTATAAGTAATATTTTAAAAATGAGAGCGGACGAGTTGGTTCAACCGGGAACAAATCAGATAATCAGTCTGATTAATTATAGAAACTAATTTAGCATTGGACTAATCAAAATTGGATTGAACTATTGATTCGACTGAACGACCATCAAATCTGTTTAGGCTTCAAATGAAACACACCCTTTATCTATCGAGAAAGATTAGTACAATTAGGGGCGCATCCAGCCTTTTTTTAAGGTGGGCAAAATCAATACATTCGTCTGACAGTGTCGGCGTGGTCTATTGTCGCGTAAGTGAAGAGGCGGAACGAAGACGTCAATGACTCAAGCGGGAGTTGGGCAAATGCTTTAGATTAGGGTACTAAATAAATAAATTTAAGGGGGCAAAAGGTCGAAATTACCCTCATATTATTTCTACAATTTCCAGGCTAAGTGGATCCACCAATGAGTATAATAATAATAATTTTTATTAAGAAACTTCTTTAAACATTATATATATAATACAACACTCACTGTCTCTCCAAGTCCTGCTCTCCATCCACCATCATCACCCATGTCCTGTGCGACTCCGAGCTCCCCTCCCGTGCCTCAACCACGCCGCCGCCGCTGCCCCCAACTCTCTCCGGCAGCCTCGGCGCCGCCACCATCTCTCCAAACACAAACTTGGTCACCAAAACCTTCGCCTCTCCCCGACAAACAGGACACGTGGAATGCGAATACAGCCACATATCAATACACCCCACATGAAACAAATGCTTACATTCGGGCAACATTCTCACCATCTCCCCTTCCTCAGCCACGCTCAAACAAACGGCGCACTCCGCCGCGCCGCCGCCATTCTCAGGCCGCCTGTAGGGAAAAGTCGGCAGCTTTTCAATGGTGGCGGCATCAAGACCTTTCGAGACTGCTTCGGTGGCGGCTGCAGGGCGGCGTGTGGGAGGAGTACGGGAGTGAATAATGGTGATGAGGCCGTCGGATTCGTACTGGCGGCGGTAGCGAGTGTAGATATGGATGCTGATGACGAGGACGACGAAGATGAGGGAGAGGATGGCGCTGAGCATAAGGCTGGCGCCGGCGGCCGAGCCCGACTGAGTTTTGCTGACCGGAAACCATTGCCCTCCGGCAATGGAGTTGGAGCTCTGTGGGGCGGAAGAAGAAGACATGGGAGGAAGCAGAGGAGTTCGGCCTCCCCTGTTTTGCTCTGTTTCAGCGTCCGATTTGTGCGGTTTCATTAAGCTGATTATCTATATATAAGCTTAAGGGCGGGATACATTAATATGTTTTAATTTATTTTTATTAAGCTTAATTACATAATTAACTAACTAATTACATAATTAATCTTTGTTAATTTGCTGTCATTAAGTACTGTACTAAGGACGATAGGACGGTAGGAGTGGCGGATACGGGCGGGAGGATGAAGTGGAGGCTACGGGAAGTGAAGAAAATTTTTTAATAGACGATAATGCCCTTGGGAAGAATGGTTTTAATATTTTTTATTTTATGTATATTATTACAGGATATATTTATATGATTTTTTTCTATTAATTATAGAATTAAATTTGTTAATTAGTTTAAATTATTTTTTTATTTTTAGTTAGTTTTTTCTAAAGTTAATTTAAGTTAAATAAAAGTATTATATTTATTTGATGACCATCAAAGTATTAATATTTTTTATTGATTTTTAAGAAATAAAAAGCATAATTTAATTTAGAGTTTATATCTGATATAATTTAAAATTAATATTTATATGTGAAAATTTTATGATTCATAGAAATAATTTAAAATTGAAATTAACTAAAAAATTTATTTGAATTGAAATTGATTGTATCAAATTTGAGTCAAAGTATCTCAAATTTAATATTGGTTTGGTTTTGAGTAAATAATTAAATAAAAAATTTAAATACACATTAAATTTGTTTGAGAAGGGTATTATGGTAATTACAGCTTCTTGGGCATCGGCTTTACTGCTGAAGTTAGCTACTTTCCGTATGGGAAAGTACCAATGCCGGATATCCGATATCGTACAAATAGCTCAGTTTCTTTTTTTTATATTATAATAAATTTTAAATAAAAAATAATATCACTCAACTAAAAAATTGATATGCATATTATCTCTATCTCCAAAGACAACTTATTTTGTTTGGAGATAGGACGCATAAAGTCATTCGGAGACCCATTAGAATGTGCCACGTTTGTGGTACCAAGCCACAACATCGGCCACGAGCAGTGCTGAGCCGTGGTACCGAGCACATGGTGATGTGACACAATCTGATTGGTCTCGGAATGATGTTGGGTGTCTGAACATAATAATTTCTTCTTCAAAACTATCAATTTTAAAATATATAATTAATTTTATGGGTTTATATTAAACTAAACATCCTTCATTGGGCTCAGATTGGATTGAATTTGGCGTCATTGGGTTCATCTTCTCGAGATGTTCAGTTCTACTTTAAAATTTGCTGAAATCAGAGTTCGAATGGTCCCGGAATTAATTTCGAAAGTTTTCGATTCAACTTTGCCTTGAGATTTGTGCCCGATCAAGATAATCTTTTGATGATATATCACCTGCAAAATATGATTTGAACATGATAGAATTTTTAATAGAGAAAAAAAAAAGAATTTTTACATATAGAACACCTCAAACTATTATGATTACATACATAATATCTAAACTTATCTATGTACTTACTTTCCAATCCTCTAAAATACCACTCCAGTTAACTTTCGTCAAAACCCCGCCACGATACCTTTCGCTCAAATTATTTGTACTAAAAAGCTATTTTAAGAAGCAATAAAAAAGCCGCTGTGAAATGGAACATTAAATTGGTGCTCTGTAGATGTTTAAAGTGCTTGGATAAGCTCTAAAGATATTTACATATATCAAGTTTGGCTTTTTGAGGAAATTTAGAGGCATTGGGATACAAAGAAAATACTATATTTTTCATTCGATTTCTCCATGAAAATATTTCTTCCTTTAATGATATCAGGTCCATTAAAATGAACCTTGAATCCATATAAATGATCCAAAAAACAATTATCAAATGGCTATCTATGAGAATGATTTCCTTAATTTCCTATTTAATAAGATTATATGTAGAGGGAAGAACAACCACATGCGTGAAATTCAATATCCATAAAGTCATTTATGTTCACTTATAAATGTTTCTAATGTTTTCGTTGTATTTTGCTCAAAATTTATGTAACAATGGTTATTGTCATAATATTTTGTATGACTTATAAGTTTTATACTCTTATTGAGTATATAATAGGTAAATTCTTATATGTAAAATTTTCTCTGCTAGCATTGCAGAGTCGAGGTTGGCAGTGCCTCGGTGTTGAGCTCTGAGTTTTTGGAGGAAAAAAGAGATTTGGGTGTTCTTTGTAGCACTGAGTCTCAATTGGAGAGACTCTGGGAAATTAGGGAGATTCTCTAGGAGCACAACGGGGCTTCAAAAGTGAGCGTCGAGGCACTAGGTTAAGTTAGTGATTTTTAAATATTAAAATATATAAATTCATTTCATTAAAACCCTAACCAAGCCATCCATCCCCTTCATTGTTAGCTTAGCCAAGAGAGAAAGAGGAGAGAGGAGAAGATAGGAGAGAGAAAAAGCCAATTTAGAGTCACTTTTGTATGTTGCTCCAGTTGAAAAAGTATTCTAATCATAGTAGATAACCCGAATTCTTTTTTTATTTTCATTGATTTCAATTTCACAAATTTTATCTCTCATAAACTTGATTAAAATATAATATCACTCGTTCTAGTGGCTTTGCATTGTGTAACTTTTGAAATGTGATAGATACAATCATCATGAGCATTTTGACTGATTAATATTGAATTTTTACTGGGTAGTTTTGTTTATATTTTATTTTGAGTAAAATTGGTAGTATAATATTAATTATAAAATGACCATGAATCAATATATTGCATTTAGATATGAAATACATGAGAGGGAGCGATGAGAGAGTGTGTGAGTGTAAGAGAGAGGGGAAGAGAAATATAAATATAGATTAAGATATAGCAAGGGATAAAATGAGAGAGACATTGAGTGGGGGAGAGAGATCATAATAAAGAGAGAAAGGAGAAAGGGAGTGAGAGAGAGGCTGAGAGAGAGAGAGAGAGATAATGAAGAGTAAGGAGAGAGATAGAGTAGTACAGAGGAGAGAGAGTGAGAGAGAAAGAAAGGGAGAGGGAGAGGGAAATAGAGCAAGAGAATGGGAGAGATAAATATTTATTTTTTAATGAGTTAGAGAAAAGCGAGAGACGGAGTGAGAGAGTGATAAAGGGAGAGAGAGAGAGTGCAATAGAGAGAGGGAGAGTGCAATATAGAGGAGGAAAGGGGTAGAGTGCAAGAGAAGGAGAAAGAGAAAGCAAGTGGGAGAGAGGAAGAAAGGGAGAAAGATGGAGATAGAGAGAGGGAGGGAGGGAGTGAGGAAAATTAGAGGCATTGGGATACAAAGAAAATACTATATTTTTCATTCGATTTCTCCATGAAAATATTTCTTCCTTTAATGATATCAGGTCCATTAAAATGAACCTTGAATCCATATAAATGATCCAAAAAACAATTATCAAATGGCTATCTATGAGAATGATTTCCTTAATTTCCTATTTAATAAGATTATATGTAGAGGGAAGAACAACCACATGCGTGAAATTCAATATCCATAAAGTCATTTATGTTCACTTATAAATGTTTCTAATGTTTTCGTTGTATTTTGCTCAAAATTTATATAACAATGGTTATTGTCATAATATTTTGTATGACTTATAAGTTTTATACTCTTATTGAGTATATAATAGGTAAATTCTTATATGTAAAATTTTCTCTGCTAGCATTACAGAGTCGAGGTTGGCAGTGCCTCGGTGTTGAGCTCTGAGTTTTTGGAGGAAAAATAGAGATTTGGGTGTTCAATGTAGCACCGAATCTCAATTGGAGAGACTCTGGAAAATTAGGGAGATTCTATAGGAGCACAATGGCGCTTCAAAAGTGAGCGTAGAGGCACTAGGTTAAGTTAGTGGTTTTTAAATATTAAAATATATAAATTCATTTCATTGACTGATTAATATTGAATTTTTGCTAGGTAGTTTTGTTTATATTTCATTTTGAGTGAAATTGATAGTATAATATTAATTGTTAGCATAAAATGATCATGAATAAATATATTACATTTAGATATGAAATACATGAGAGGGAGCGATGAGAGAGAGTGTGAGTGTAAGAGAGAGGGGGAGAGAAATATAAATATAGATTAAGATATAGCAAGAGATAAAGGAAAGAGACATTGAGTGGGGGAGAGAGATCATAATAAAGAGAGAAAGGAGAAAGGGAGAGAGAGAGAGAGGCTCAGAGAGAGAGAGAGAGAGTGATAATGAAGAGTAAGGAGAGAGATAGAGCAGTATAGAGGAGAGAGAGTGAGAGAGAAAGAAAGGGAGAGGGAGAGGGAAATAGAGCAAGAGAATGGGAGAGATAAATATTTATTTTTTAATGAGTTAGAGAAAAGCGAGAGAGCAAGACAACTAGGGAGAGGGAGTGAGAGAGTGATAAAGGGGGAGAGAGAGAGAGAGAGAGAGAGAGAGAGAGAGAGAGAGTGCTATAGAGAGAGGGAGAGTGCAATATAGAGGAGGAAAGGGGTAGAGTGCAAGAGAAGGAGAAAGAGAAAGCGAGTGGAAGAGAGAGAAAGAAAGGGAGAAAGATGGAGATAGAGAGAGGGAGGGAGGGAAAACAAGAAATAGGGAGAGGAAGAGGGAAAGAGATGGGTATATAGAGGGATAAAGGGGGCTATTAGGAGATGATTTTGGCGGCTGAGATAGAGACGAGAGAAAGGGGATATATAGAGAGCAGGAGAAAGAGTTGGGCGGCATCTTTCCCGCTCAATCTAAACGACACAACTCCCTCTCCCTCTCATGCAAGAATCTAGACATAACTCCCTCTCCCTCTTTTGTTTAATCTCAATGGTTTATTTCTTAAAGCACGAATAGGAATTAAATAGTTACCTCGTCCCTTTCTTATGGAGGGATAAAAATGCCATGTATACTTTAGAATAATTTGTATAATAATATTTGCATATTCTGAAATTAATAATATCAAATTGATTTGTTTTCTTAAAGAAAATATGTTGAAACTTACTTAAATAGATGGTTATTTTCCTTGTGCCGACTAAAATTTAATTTCCCTTTGGTTGCATTACTTGAAAACACACGTGTCGAGGTTCATTTCAAAAAGATAAAAGAAAAAATGGTTATATTCTTTATGTTATAGTTAGATTCCATTTGGATTATTCTTTTAATATGTTCTTAATGTAATTGACTCTCCTGAATCAACAAGAGCACCAATACTATTTCTCTCTTAGTTATATTGCATCCCTATCTTGCCTACACGCCCTGTATCTCCATCTTGTGTAATTGTGCTCGCCCGTCTCTCATTATTGCTACAACAAGCACAGTCGTTATCATTCACTCAAGCTCGTCTGCATGCACTCACCCAGGCCAGCAAGTCAGTTGTGTTAGGTTCGGGTCTAGGTTTATGACCCATTTATCTAATCGGGTAGGGTTCAAGTTAAGTAAGTTGAAATTGGGTTCGACAAAACTCGACCCGAAAATCTTTTTTGACACCCTTAGGGTCAGGATTTAGCAGAGTGAATTAAATGAATCTTCATGTTTAATTTTATTTTTATACTCAGGAGTAGAAAGATAGATTGATATAATGATTAATCTGCTAGCTATTGTAAATGAATTTTGAGAAATGAATACAGTTATTTATTTTGATGAACATGATTTATGATAGTTTTTGTTGATGATTGTATTTATTAAAAGAAATTAGTAGCTCTGGTAGGCTAATTAACAGATAAATAAATAATTCTTCTAAAATTAGACCCTTGGACATTATAGTATGCATGCATAACATAGATATTATTTGTGTATGTGATAAAAACACATTGTACTCATTTTATAAAGTAATATATATAAACTTTTTAAAATGGATGGGTATTGAAATGATAAATTCTACTAGTTTTTTATATAGTTATCGATTACTGCTCATTACATGTACATGTACATGTATATAGATTTTATTATTCATAAGATATATCATTATTTACATTGATTGTTATTTTTTTTACAGTTATATGTTCATACTAATATGAAATGATTACATGCATATTATTTTCTACTGTGCATTAACTGTAGTTGTAGACTCTAGTAATCTACTAAGTTATTAGTCCACTATGTAATTTTTATATGATTTTAGGATGGAGACATAATCCAGCAGAGTGAGGTAGATCAAATATTCAAGTTTTATCTAATTTTTTGAATTTGTTTATTTTTGTAGTAATGAGTAGAATGATAGACAGATATAATAATTGATCTCTTAGTTATTGTAAATGAATTTTAAGATATGAATACAATTGTTTATATTGCTTAACATGATTTATAGTTGCTTTAAATGATGATTGCATTCTTTAAAAGAGATTAGCAGCTTTGTAGGCTAATGAATAAATAAATAGATAATTCTTTCAAAATTAGTCCCTGTGGAATTACAAAGTATACAAGTATACTTATAGAGTAAGTTTAAGACCAGGAGATAAAAAAATAAAATGTTTAAATCAACTAGAAAGCCACCCTTAGCTGAAATGAACTTTTCAATAATTTTTCGCTTTCTTATGAAAAATTACGGGGCCTATTATCACCTTAATTATCAAACACTTCTTCTCATTAAGGAAACTCACTATGATTACTAATTCACTTAACACTTCCTTTTTATGAAGTTGTATGCTATAAACTTAGCATAATATAAACACATTAGAAAGGATTGTTCATTATCTTCTTATGCCTTTTGCTTTGTTATAAATTTGCTCTCCTTTAATATTATAAATTATAACTCTTTTTTTTTCTTTATTTAATTTTTAATTATAGTGGATCTTTATAATTTATATTATGCTTTTTATAACTTTTATTTATTAATTTCCTTATTAATATTATTCAGTATATTATTCCAAAAAAGAAAAAAAAAAACTAAACCCCCCCTTTTCCTTATTAATTTTATTCATATTTTGTATTGTTGAACCATTTACCCAAACCTAGTCTTTTCCTTATCGGATAAGAATTCCCGATCAAATCTAAAGCCTGCTCTTTTTGTAGTGAAGCAAAAAAATTATTCAAATCACATGCAATCCACGAAATAAAATACACGATTCCTTTTCATCCAACGGTCATAAACTGAAATACAAGTCTGCAAACGCAAGATCAACGATCAAGATCTCATCACACGAAGCATTCAACATGCACATCATTTCCAGATTCTCCAACGCCTCCTCTCCCCTCCCATCGACGATCGGCAGATCGATCTGAGATAGTGCGTCTTCCCCACTGACGAAAACCCTAATCTCTCCTTCCCTATTGCTTTGATCTGAAGCCCGTAGCAGACAAGTTAGGGTTTGGCAATCAGTTCCCTTGGATATCTCGTTGATCTCTTCGTTCATGTATGGTTTCGGGGAAAATGCTCGGCGGCAACGGTTCACGTGACAATCACCGGTGGGCGGAGAGTAAAGTTTACTCACGCAAGTCTCAGAACAAATCTTCCGGTCGGAAATCTGGAAATCCTCAGCCGCATCCCGCTGCCGATGATGTCAACTCTTCTCACCACCCCTCCTCGCCGCCGCCGGGTTCTCTACCTGCTCCCTCCGCCGCTTCGGAGGACGACGCATCCAGTCTCAATCGGCCTATTCAAGCTCTAATCAATCGAAATCACTCGAATCGACACCAGCAGCACCACCGCATGGCGACCATCAGCCTTGCATCTCGGTCGAGGGAAGAAGTAAGGGATCTCCGGAAAAAGCTTGCAGCTGAGCTTGAGCTCGTTCGAGCTATGGTAAGAAAGCTCGAGGCCCGGGAGCTTCAAGCTGCAGCAGCCTCAGCTTCATTGGCGCCAGCTACTGGCTATACCATGTCTCAGCTCTCGGCTAGCGATCCGAACCCTACTATTCCCGCCAGGAAGACAGCTTTGAGCTCTGAGGTTGCTTCCTGCCGTCCTCAGGTCAGTGTTTCTGTTATGCCTGGAGAGAGTAGTCTAAATGAGGCGGCGGAGAAAGAGAAGCGGACTCCGAAGGCGAATCAGTATTATAGGAACTCAGAGTTTCTGCTTGGGAAGGAGAGGCTTCCGCCTCTGGAACCACATGGGCACAAGAAGCATAAGGTCAGCGGGACCAAGGCAGTTGCGATGGGCGAGATGGATAGAAACGCGTTTGCAAATGCTTTCAATAGTTGCAGGGATTTTCTATCCAAGCTGATGAAGCACAAGCATGCTTGGGTCTTTAATGTTCCTGTGGATGTGAAGAAGCTGAATATACCTGATTATCACACCATCATCAAGCGCCCCATGGATCTTGGTACTATAAGCTCCCGGCTCAATAAGAATTGGTACAAAACTCCTGGAGAATTTGCAGAGGATGTCAGGCTAACCTTCAAGAATGCCATGACATACAACCCCAAAGGGCAGGATGTGCATCATATGGCTGAGCAGCTTTTGAATATGTTTGAGGAGCGGTGGCCGTCCATAGAGAGACAGTATTCTAATGTTTCTAACCCTTCACCTATGATGAAGAAGACGCCTCTTGATTTAAGGACTCTAGAAAGGTCAGACTCCACTGCACATCCAGGCCCTGTGGAGACAAAGAGTAGAGTGGTGAGTAATGTCCCACATATTGGACGGCCTCCACCATTGAAGAAGCCTAAGGCAAAAGACCCTGACAAGAGAGACATGACTTTTGAGGAGAAGCAGAGGTTGAGTAATAACTTGCAGAACCTGCCTCCAGAGAAGTTGGAAAACATAGTGCAGATTATCAAGAAGAGAAACTCATCTTTGAGCCAGCATGATGATGAGATTGAAGTCGATATTGATAGTGTAGATGTGGAAACACTCTGGGAGCTTGATAGATTTGTGACTAATTATAAGAAGAGCTTGAGCAAGAATAAGCGAAAGGAAAAGCTCGCAGTACTAGCGAGAACTGGAGTTGAAAGTAATGCAAATGAAAGGGTGCACGAAGTGGTAAGAACTATGGAGTTACTTGGTAGTTGAAGGGTTATATTTTGTTCTCATTTGAATTTACTAACTAGATGTTTCTTCTCCTTTTTCTTCACCTTCCAGATTACAGGGCCTGAGCCAACAGGAGAACACAGGGAGGGCAAAATAGGTAGCCTGATAGTGTAGATAGTTTTACTTTTTGTAGTCTTTAATGTATTTCATCTTGTGCTTATAGTATAATTGACAACAGTGATGGATGATAAAGAGGTATCTTCTGGATCACGAATAAGAGAAGAAAATAAAGGGGGAGATGCAAATAGGTCAAGTAGTTCAAGCAGCTCTAGTAGTGATTCTGGTTCATCCTCCAGTGGTAATTGAGAATTCAATTCTTGGTGCATTCTCAAATTAAGATTAGATTTAGCTCACTATGGATTATTTTAGAATCATGCAAATTCAATTCAACTTACTGTTGAGAGGGCTTGTGCAGATTCAGATAGCGAAAGCTCATCTGCATATGGATCAGATGGGGGCCAGTCACCTAGAACTTGAGTAAATTGCAGGAGGTATGAGTTACTCAATGCTAAAGTTTGGTGTTTTACTTGATCATACCAATTTCTAAATGGTTGGTTGATTTGATTTTGGGATAATATCTTGTTCAACGATCAATACTGATAAATATTGATAAACTCTTTAATCGCATGCATTTTCTCCATCTTATGAAATTTAATTTCTTAGACTGTTATGACAGAAGACTTATAATAGAAGTCCTGAACTAGCTCTATTAGGATCATTCTCATGCATTGTAAGGGGACATTGATCTCCTCTTGTTTAACCTCCAAAGCATGGAATTTCACTTAATGTGAATTTGCTTATAATTAGCTTCATATCGATGATGAGAATACACTTGATCATTAATAAATGCTCTATAAGAGGTTGTTTGGCAACGGGATTTAATGGGATTTATGCAGGATCTGCCAAACGGGATTTGAGAGTCTCGTAAATCTAATGGAAAGATAAATCCTCCATTAGCTGATTTTTTGCTTAAATCCCGGTTTTACTAAATCTTAGAATTCAACAGATTTACGAGATTTGGCCGAGGAAGAGAACAAAAGGGATAAAGATGATTGCCTTCACAGCAAGCGAGCTCCTGTAATGACTTCCAATCCAACATTGTTGAAGGAGGCGAAGAAGCTCCTTTAGCAAATCTATCAATACACTACTTCATATGAAGCCTTCAAACTTCATGTGAAGCATGTGAGGCCAAAGCAGCAACAAAGAAATGGCAAGTAAGAGAAGCAATAGTAACGAAGAAATGGAAAAGATGAAAAGTAAACCCTAGACGGACTATTTAAATAAGAATTAATCTAAGTTAGCATAATTTAATAATTCAAATTTTTAATAATTAATTCGATTAAATAAATAATTAGTAGTACAATTAATAATTAAAAAATTTAAATATATAGTTTTATAATATAATTTCAATAGTAACGAAGAAATGGAAAAGATGAAAAGTAAACCCTAGACGGACTATTTAAATAAGAATTAATCTAAGTTAGCATAATTTAATAATTCAAATTTTTAATAATTAATTCGATTAAATAAATAATTAGTAGTACAATTAATAATTAAAAAATTTAAATATATAGTTTTATAATATAATTT